TTTTATTTAGAACTAAACTTCCTGCACCAATGTTTGATCGATCACAAATTAGTATTTGGAGTATACTTAAGCAATGTATTGGAAAAGTAAATAATTTAATGTAACATAAATAAAATTATCTGTTAATTAAAAAGATAATATTAAGTTTCGAGATATAATTCAATTTTTGCCTAGAAATATCTCGGTTCATGTAACTCTAATTGAAAAGATTCATATTGATGCACAAGTTTTGAGTATAGTTCGACTATGATTCAATATTGTTGTACGATAATAGATTATCTCATTGAATGCATAATATATTTTTTTTTATTAAGAATAAGCAATGACAATAAATATTATGGTATCATTAACATTCCATTGACTTCATCAAGTAGCTTTAAGTTTTTAGAGATTAACAACTTCGAATTAACTTGAGATCGATAGATTATTCAGTTTGAAAAAGATTACTTCTGATAGAGACCGTATTACTTACGAAAGAAAGTCTCCAAATGATAAATTGCTTTTAAATCTGGACTTGATTCAATCGATAACGTTTAGTGAGTATGTAAATACTCTTGAATGATTCGAGCTACCAGATTTTTATTGCTGAGATAACGAGTTTTCAATGGACTTTGACTGGAAACTTTGTCTAGGTTATATGCACCGATTAGAATAGATTGTAGAAAAAAATTTCTGAATTTTTTATAAAGTCTCTTTAAGATATGAATATTGTAAAATATCGAAATTTTTTTACGATAACAATGACAATGTGCCGATATTTTAGAAAATTCGTATCTTGGTGAGACTTAGTCAAAAAATTTGGAACTTTTTTTCCACCAGTTACTTTAATCGGCGTCTTTATATGGGCAAAGTTTCAGGTCGAAATTTGAGTATATGATTTTGCTTGCAAAATAATGTCCAGCAAGACAAAAGCTTTCTAATAACTTGATATCTCAGAAAGTAAGGCTCAGTAGTTCGAATCATTCTACAGTGTTTACCAGCTCACAACAGATCGTATTAATTAAATATAGTTCCAGCTTAAAAGCGATTTATCACTTGGGAACCTACTGTTGTTAGTGTTGTGTGAAAATTTCATTCATCAACAGGAAATCACTTAACGAGAACACAATACTGTTATTACTTTTTTTTTTTTTTAATAATTTGTCAATGATTACTATTGAATTCTTTTTTTGCTATGATGAAAAACAATGGCAAAACTCTTCAATATAAACCGAATGAATTAAATCTCGAAGCTTCATTTATTCTTTTTTTTTATTTTGATTATAGACGATTGTTAAAAATTACATTTCAATATTAAGAAAAAAACAAAGAAATCATGTCTTTTAATTTATTAGGAATTATCGAAAATATCAATGCCGATAGTGTGGAATGAACCGGTTTCATTTCTTCAACGTTTTACGGAAAATGTGCTTTATTCATATTTACTTGATCGAGCCGATGAATGTACTGACCCAATAATGCGAATGCAGGTATATTTATTCCTATATATTTATCATATTTTATTTTACTGAATTTATTTTATCAAAAAGTATGTCGCAGCATTTGCTGTATCATCAATATCAAGTAATATTGATCGTTTATCAAAACCATTTAATCCACTACTGGGTGAAACATATGAATTTGTTCAGTTAGTTTTAAAACAATTTTAACTAAATAAAGTATTTTATTTTTCATCTATTAGTGATGATTTACCATTTCGTTATATGAGTGAACAAGTAAGTCATCATCCACCAGTTAGTGCATTTACATGTGAGTCAAAAGATAACGGTGATCGATGGCGATTTTACGGTAGTATTTTACCTAAAGCAAGATTTGCTGTTAAAAATATGGAAGTTAATCCAAAAGGTTTATTAACACTTGAACTTAAACGGTAAATGAAAACAACACACGCATGTAAAGAAATTCATTATAAAAATATTTTTCTTTGGTGTGTGTTTTAGACATAAAGAAATTTATACATGGGAAAGTGTAACATGTACAATTCATAATATTGTTGTTGGACGACTTTGGTTTGAATATGTACGAATATATTTTGATTTAAAAAACAAAAAAAAAATTTTCTTTTGTTTCTTTAATTAAAGCATGGTACTATGGAAATACTTAATCATTCAAATAAAATGAAAGCTATTTTAAATTTTAAACCATATTCATGGTCATCAAAAGAATTACATAAAGTTGAAGGTTATATTTATGATTCACAGTAAGATATTAGATTGGCTCTTCTTTTTTTGATATTTTAATTATAAGTATTAATATACATATATATGATTTCTTTTAATTAGAAAACGTAAAGTACGTGGTTTATATGGTTATTGGACAGATTCATTATATTCCATAGATATGGATCGTTTTGAATTATTTTTAAAACAACAAAAAAAAGAAATAAAAAATTCATCAAAATATCCTCAACAACAAACAATGAATTCATCAACAGCAACACCTAATGATATTGATAGTACAGATTTAGATGAAGAATTACCTGAAGTTGATCCATCACATGAACAACTTAATCTTCCACCAAATTCACTTACACTTTGGAGAATTATGCCAAAATTAGAATATGCATCACAAGTAAAGATATATTTTTGTTTTCATATGAATAAATCAAAAATAATATCTATGATTTTTCTATTAATAGTATTATAATTTCTCATTGTTTACTATGGCGCTTAATCAATGGACAGAAGAAGATAAAAAAACACGACCACCATTACCACCAACTGATTCACGATTTCGTCCAGATATTCGTAAAATGGAAGAAGGTGATATTGATTTAGCTGGGCAAGAAAAAGATCGTCTTGAAGAAAAACAACGTGCCACAAGACGAACAATGGAAAAACGTCGAGAAGAATGGCAACCGAGGTATAAATTTTTCTTTCATATGTTAGAAGAATATTAAACACTTAATGTTTTCTCTTTTTCTGAATATATTAGATGGTTTCGTCTCATAAAACATTCAGTAACAGGACAAGATGTATGGATATCAAATGAAAAATATTGGCATCGAAATTGGGCCAATTGTCCAGATATCTATTAGTACCATTGATTTGTTTTTTTTCTTTTGTTTTCTTGTTTTTTTTTTGACGGTGCTTATTATTCTTCAATTCAATTTCGTTACTTCGTAGTCTCTTTTTGCTTTTCTATTTCTGTCTATTTTTGTTTATGAGTATGATCTCAAATCATAAATAGGCTTCGTTGATGGTGAAAATAAATTTTGCACAAATAATTGCTCACAATAGGAGGCTTAGCCTCAAATATTGACAATAACCAGGTTTCTAACGATAGGTATTATTTGAGAGAAAAAAAATATATATAAATATAAACTCATACATTATGTGTGAGCTGTACGAATATGTATTTCACTCTTTAGTATTCTTAATTGTAAACATTCCTACTATAGATGGAATTATATTCATAGATGCAATAAAACATTGATTTTGTCTTTCATCATAACAGAAATATATTTCTAATTTTAATCAAAAGAAAAAAACAAACTCCAATTGTTTAAATATATTTTTATTCTATTAACAAAATTTCATGAAAGATAAAAAAATGTAAATAGACAAATTTTGTCCTTCAAAAAGGTAACATCTCTGGTTACTTTAAACTGATATTTGCTTCTGTTTTGTTATGTAAGATAAAAAAAAAAGATATCTAAAGTTCTAAAAGTAAACGAATATTTATTAAATATTTATTCATTTATAGATATAATTATTTTAAAAAATTATCAAGCTTTTTTTTTTTATTCTAATAAGTTCTTCTTTTTCGGAAATATTTATTTTTGGAAAAAGAGCATTTAATGTCATCTTGAGATGTGGGTATTAAGGGTTTCCTCTTTTCCTACGTCCTGCATATGTCTATTGAGAAGTAATACGTAGCTTTGTATATTATTTACGATTGTTGTCTTTGAATGCCATCAGAATAATTGTTTTTTTTTTATATGAGAAATCATGCACTAAAACAATACACTCCTATGACTAGTGTAGTGTGTGATTCAAATTAGGAATATTGATGTAAAAACAGCCATGAAAGAAAAAAACTAAGAAGGTAACCAGATATGTAGGTAAAACAGTACGACAGCTTATATTTCGCACATCATAAAAATGTTATAAATATACAAGTATTCAAGCACGCACTCATTTGTAACTAATATGTTAATTGATGTTGACAAATCTATTTTTTTAAATGTTTTTTTTTTATTCTAATGAAGAAAAAAAAGTAAAAATTTTGTTTAAACTTAATTTATCAAAAATAAACCGAATGAAATAATAAAATGCCTAAAAATCAAGCCATATTTGATCATTAGTTGAATGAAATGTTTGCATATGTGTCTGATTAGCTATCTAGATTGTACTACATTGATCGAGAAATTCAAATCTTGTAGCCTGTTTAATATCTGTAAAAAATTGTGCAAGTATATTACCATTTAAATCTTTAATTTTAATCATTAAATTATCATATAATGAATAATAACGATGAAATGGATCCAATAAAACAGGTAAACATGGTTTAATTAATTCATAATTATGTCGTATTATTGCCCAACTTTCTTGTTGTTGAATTGAAGTTTATGAAAAATCTCTCCATAAAACAAAAATATCATTACAAGCAACACCATGAAAATATGGTGGAACTATTGATAAACTTGGACAAGTATGAATTAAACCTTAGATTACTGAACCATTATCATATACTGATGATATACGAGCACTATATAAAAGAAAACTGAAAATTAATATTTTCTTTTTTCTTTATAAGTTTTCTTTTTCTTTTTTTTGTTTACTGTATATGTTTGTGGATCTAATTGTGTGTAAACAACATGTTGTCGTGTTGTATTTATTTTAATTTTTGTCCAACGTTCATTTAATAAATAATCATGAGCTTGTTCTTGAATAGTAATGCCAATTCGTCTATCGAGACTTAGAAATAGATACTCATTTTGAGTGTTTATCAATAAGTAAACGTTCTAGTTAATGATTAAAATTATCCATCCATGTATATTATAATAAATGATTTTTTATTGGATTATGAAAACGTTCTATAGGTTCAGTTTTTAATTCATTTTCAATCCAATGACGTGTTACAATACGACAATAAATCGGATCAACTAAATTATAATACTTACAATGTAAATTATGTTGACCTGACTTAAGACAGCGTGAATGATTTGGAATACAATGAAATGGATTTGATAATGAATGAATAAATGTAATTGGACATACATATGATGATAATATATTGGTTTTATTACATGGTAACTATGTTTTCATCTATAAAAAAAAAAAAAGAAATAAATTATTATATGATATGAAAAATTAATACTGTTTTCTGGTTTTTGTTTTGACTTATATGACTATCTGGTTTATATCCTAGAAGTGCTTCAGTTTGTTCTAGTCGTTGTTGACGACATGTATTTAGTCGAGTAATACTAATAATTAAAAGTAAAGCACCCATAATGAGAATTAAACTTAATAAAACTGGAAAAATTAATGATGTTAAACGAAATGAATGATGTTGATTCAAATGATGAGATTTTATTAAATCATTACCATCATCATAATCATGATTGATTTGTATTTGAAATTTATTATTACTAATAGATGTAGGAATGTTTTGATCCATGTTCATAACAGAAGAACTAAACGTATGTTATCTAGAACGATAGAAAGAATGAAAGTGAAATGTAAAAGTATTCGATTTGATGTACATGCAATAAACAAGAGAAAAATAGCGTTTTCAAAAAACATCTCGAAAAGAAATCAATCTATAAAAATAAAACGAAAGAAAAAGAAAAGTTATGTAAACATATTGTTTTCTTCATCATTAGAATGCAATTGCAATAATCAACACTTATCATATGTACTCAACACTCGAGATAAGAAAATAATTATTTACCAATAAAATCAATATCAAAACTAGATGGCATTCGAGTTTCACTTGACTGCGAAGCTATGATGGACAAATAATCGTGTATTATCAAGTGTATTCCCAGATATCAGAGTGATGACTAATATTTCTTGTTTCTTGCTAAGTTTGCAAGTACAGAAATTTGCTTTTAATTTTGGGTGACTTCCTGTAATAAATTGAAACATGCTTTTGAAGAACAAAAAAACGGATGCTATCGATTCAATCATAAAATTTTATCCTTGCATTTGAATGAGTCTTTTCTGACTTTCCGTTCTCGAGATCATAGCGGCAGATAATTACAATCCTTTGATGCGTACGTCGTAGGAAGTATTTAATAAAAAGAGATCAAAACTCGTGAAGCACTACAGAAATGTTCTACTTCACACGGCAGTATTGCTTTGTCCTTTTTAATTCATCGGTATTAATAGATTATTTCATAAAATATTCTTTATTGTTAAATATGAAGTTTTTTATCGATCATTTATTATTGACTTCGAAAGAATCCAAATAAGTATTGTTGTCTAATACAAGCAAAAATATATTCGAGACAACAAGATGTAAGTAATGTCAGATAAACTGAATTAGGAAACTTATTGAAAGGCTAATGATATCTAAAAAAAGATAACTGTAAATAATAAATATACTACTGATTTGCTTGTGGCGTTTTCAAAAGAGCAGTCAATTAATATTCTAGTCATGATTTACAAATGTTTATTAAGACAATTTCCTATGTAGAAATATCAAGCGTTCCTTCTATAATTATGGGAATTATGATGTATGAAATTTGGTTGTCATAAAAACAAACTTCTTCATCTTTATTCAAACAATATTTCCAATCTAATTTGTTTTTTTTTGTTTTCGTAACTATAGTTTAAGACAAGATATTCTACACAGTTAATCTACTTATAGTATGCTCATTTTTTCTTTCCTTGGTGGTACTCTTTGATACATTCTTCTATCTGTTTAACGCCACATTGTAGGAAAGTTTTACTGTATCTTTAACATCTTATCTATTCGATGTATCATTATATATATATATATATATATATATATACACATAGAGAGAGAGTAAATGAAGTATTGCATCATTGTACATTCACAGAAATGTTATAGATTGTTTAGATAGTAGAAATTATTATAATTATCGAATATTGTCATTTGTTTAGATTAAATATGTCATAAGAATTAATTTAAAAAAAAAACTTTAATTAAATTTTTCTTATTATTAAAAATTGAAAATATCCAAAGTCTAGTTCTTGTATCAAATGAATGTTATATATTTCTTTTTTATGTATGTTATGTTAACTATCATATTTTTCATGGCATTTATTCATTCATTTGTTCTTTTGCTTTCTTGATTGATACAAGACATTCTTTCTGCATAACAATAATCATACGAATGGTTTATAGACGACTAACAAATTCATAATCTATCTATATTGTTTTATATAACCAATGGGATGTTAAATAGATGCTAATCGAAACGCATCAATAATCATCACCATTATCACATCCATCTTTAAAGGAGTCTTTTCATTATTTATCAAAAGTGTAACATAGCTTTAGTTTTCTTTCAATGGTGTTTCCATCTGTTTTGTCTCATTAATTCGTGTAGATACAAATGGAGCTCGTCATCATATTTATAATATATATATAAATATACACATATAAGTGTATTTATTGGAATCGAAAAAAAACGGAAATAATTGTTGAAGAGAACCCATAAGAAAAACGTTAGAAAGGCACAAATAGCTATATATTCTTGCTGTTACTAATCGTTTACACGGAAACTAGAGATATCGGAAAATAGTACGATGAATGAATTTTCTATTCATTTTAGTTCTACTATCAGCAACAGTAGTAGAGTCTAGTATACATCTATGTAATAAGTGCTGCCGATCTGTTTATTCGAGTTTTCCGTTTTCTTCTCTTTTTATTTCTTTCTCTCTCTCTCTTCATCGGGCTGAGATCAATCTCAAGCAAACAACAACAACCTATCTGCATTAGCAATCGATGACACGTGTGCCTACGTATGTATTATTACTCAATCTCAGTTGATAATATTTCAAGGGTGACATTTGCCTCGGTCGGATGCTTTTTTTTCTTTTTTTTTTGACAATGACATCAAGACCTCACAAATCAATGACTCTATGTACTACTAGTTCCACTAGTTCTACTAGTCTTACTACTGTTGTTGTCAATGTAAATGACGATTATGCTAAATGGCATTGATAAAACTATAGAACCTTTATTTTGTGGAGCAGCCGTCATTCTTTCTTTTTTATCCCTATGGCGATTAGTTTGCCATCGTAGTTTCATCGTCACTACATAAAAAACCGGAAGGAAACCAAGCTAAATGCCAAGCTTTCTCTGTTTTTTTTCTCCTTCCATTTAAAACCTACAGCCTACGGGCGTCCCACGTCCACCATCAAACGATTACAGATGACTATGGCCAAGAAAATATAATCGATGCTTTTGCACCCAAACATACGAAATCTCGTTTTTTTTCTCTCTCGTCTTCATTTTTTTTTCTTCTTTTATATGTCCCATCTGTGTCACACACACAGATATATATACATATTTTCTTCGTATATGTTAATCATTTGACAGAGATACATGTTTGATTTTACATACAAACACACATACATTACAAATACAATCTTATAATTGACAGTTTGTCAAGGTATTTTTCGAAATGTGAATAGCATTGTTGAGCAGCACCATCAATTCACATTTGTCTTTATTCTTTTCTTTCAACTATCCTGTTTTTTTTGTCTTGAATGGCATCGATTAGAATATGTGTGAATGTATATGTGTAGTCTCGTTGTGTCGAATGCACAATGAAGTCAACGCTCGCAAATGAGTTGTCTCAAGGAGCTATTCCGTCATGATGCATATACACACATCCACTAGACGCGACTGCACACTACTTTATGGTGTTTTCTCGCGTCTGTGTTTTCTCTCTTCTTCTCATCTTTCTTGTTCTTCGACTTGGTTGTTATAAAAAGCAGCACATTAGTAAGACTAGCGATGAGAACGACAACGACAACGACGATGACGACTACTATTGAATAGTGACATTGTATTTCTATCAAATCTTGTGCACTCATCACAGAAGAGTTGTATGATATATTATATCATTTGTTAAGTTAGAATAGACTATCGATGTATGTATTTCTGTCTCTCTTTCTCCCTCACACTCGTTTTTTTTCTTTATTCGATTCATTGAGTATTATCTTTTGCGTTAAGTAATAATCTTTTTTCATGTCTCAATGGGCGGATTGAGGAAAATAGAATTGATCGATCTTATTTTTATGTTGAGTTCTATAGTATTTCAAGGATGATTGAAATCTAGAAAAGAACGAAGAAAAAAAAAATAAATGAAAAGTAAAGATTGTCTAGCATATTGATTGAGTGTTCGTTCGTTGATGATGTCTTTTTTTCTCGGTTTTTTTTCTCCTATCTCTCTAATTAGTAACGAGATGCAGATTCGATCTTCTTGTATGCGCGACTGACTAAATAAAATATATCTGTCTGTTGTGCGAATGCAAACAAGTCATATTATCTAGCTAGCACAAAAAAAAAAAGAAAATAAGAAGAGAAAAGATGGTATAAATACTCTGACTTAGATATAACGAATAAACATTGATCTCAGTGATAAAGCTAGGATTGACAATATTTTATATTCTTAATAGCTTATGTCATTTCATGTTCATTTCTTCATTAGAAAAAATAGTCTATCTATTCACTTTTCGAAAATGTTTGAAAGCATGTTGTTCTAGTCTCATGTAAGCAACAACTGTTGATATTTACTCGACATATATTTAATGCTGCCGTCACTCCCAATTGGTCTTAGCAAAAATATAGTCAGATGTGAAGAAAGATAAAGAACAAAGAAATTATTTTGTTTAGAATATAACGATCAATGAAGAAGAAAATTGCACACTATCATTAACAATTCCATTGTTTGCAATATGATCTTTTGTATCTAGATACATTTTTCAGATTATTTAGTCTATTTCATTTTTTTAATAGTATTGGTTCGTCGATGTCACATTAAATCTATCATCACCATCAACAACATTCCCTTGTGAAAAAAATAGTGAGAATGATGACAATTTCCGTTACTTTTTTCTGTTTCCTTTTCTTACCTTCAGATTTCTTTACTTTTTTTTTTCTTTTTAGCAATAACTACCTATGTACTGTTATATAGTTGACATGAAACTGGAAAGAAAATATAAAAGCCATTAAAGAATAGAAAATACGAACGATGATAGTGATGATAATAATAGCTAATTCTAGTCTTCTTTATATGTATTCATTCCGATGAATTCTTTATTCTCGTCTGTCGACATCTAATCATCACACAACTCCTACTACTACGAAAAAAGTGCTAGCACTATAAAACAAGATAAAGAGAGGAAAAAAAAACAAAATCTTGCGAACGATTTACGCGCTTCTCGTCATCATCTTCATTATTGAATGATGGGATAAGATCGATCAAAGAAAATCAAGACGAACATATCGCCTATAAGCAACAAGCGAACGGTATCGGTAGCACTTGCTTTTTAGTTAGTGTCAGCGCCTGTGGGAACTGTAGAAAGAGAGAAAGACAGAGAGACTGAGAGAAAGAGAAAGGGAGAACGAAGAACACACAAAGAATTTCATTAGAACGACAAGACGTAAGATGCGCACTATGTGTGTAGGGTCGCAAG